CTATATATATATATGTTTTATATTTATATATAAATATATATACATGATAGAGTTACTGATACATTTTTCCCCATCCTAGGCCGGTAGATCCTGGGTCGGGGTATAACATCACCAACAACACGAAGACCAACATTGCGCTAAAAATAGAACAGGAAGAAGTGATTGGCTGTTGCGGTGCGCAAACCCAGGGTCGGGGAGACCACTATAGTTTTGGATACTCACCTGACGCTTGGTCCCGGAATCCGACCACCGGAATACCGGGACGGGGAGAAGAAGTGAGAAATAGAAGACGAGCACATGTGGGTACTGTATTCGGCGCAGATAAGCGCATTATATCAGACGATGAGAATACCGGAGACATGTTCGTTGACGGAACGGAACGTTTTCATGAAGCCGTTAACGCTGGACACGCAACACCCAATACAGATGATGGTAAAGATAGAAACAGCCCAACACTCAATACAGATGATAGTAAAGACAGAAACAGCCCAACACTCAATACAGATGATAGTAAAGATAGAAACAGCCCAACACTCAATATAGATGATAGTAAAGATAGAAACAGCCCAACACACAATACAGGCGATAACAAGGACAGGCATAGCCAAGTGCATCGGCATGCGGAGAAGCGTACTCGACACAAAGGTGTCGGAGAAACCTCGGCGAATGGTACGGTGTACCGAACTATCTCACTCACCCCTCCCCACTACCACAATACCCATCACACTCACCAGTCTGTTCAACAGTTTAACAGTGCGAAAACACAGCCACAACAGCGCAGACGGGACGTAGTACAAGGTAGTAGGGCTACTGAGGGGATCGCAATACCCGGTGAGTCACCAATGAATCATGGGGCTATTAATAGAACACCCCGATCTATAAATAGAACACCGGACCCACCCACGTGCGAGTGTATGCCGGCGCGGGCGACTGTGGCGGGCATCCCGTGTCAATCTACACGCGCGTGCACTACGTTCGATGCAACCGATATCAGTGCAGTCAGGTATGTTTAGATATACGTACACGTATACAGGTGTATGTGTATATGTATACACATGTGTATGCGTGTATGTGTATATGTATAAACACAATCGTGTATGCACGTATATATATATTTATATATATATATAGTAATGTGTTAGTATATATGTATTTATATACGGCCACGTATTAATGTATGTGTGCACCCATGTATATTTGTATACATAGAAAGCGAGAGAAGTATAACGGTGTGCTTCCGTACGCGTGCATGTGATGTTATGTTATGTGTGTGTGTGCATCACCTCCCAAAGTAACCGATGTCGGCAACTGCACCTACAGATAAGAATACGTCAGCAGCCTCTTGGGCTCTTAAACGCTATAAGTATAGATATCGTATGCACCCATTTGCGGCCCCTTAAACTCTAAACGTTTACAACTATTAATGTAGCATATCAACAGTCAGCCGATTCAGAAGTATACGCTTTACCACACGAGTTCCTCTCTCTGCCGTATATACAACTAGTTATAGACGTATATCTATGTAAATATACATCTAAAGACATTATATTAAAACTTGTGCGCTCAACCGCGTGTGTTTATCGGTCCATTGTCCACTTTTTCAGGTGCATGGTTCCTCTTCGGCCCCATCCGACGGTGCAACTCTTCCGTATTGAAGTGGCTGACATCCGAAGTCTCAAGGTTCACGACCGGCCCCATACCCCAAAAATAGGACACGCGACCACGTACGTACAACGGGGTTTGCCATTTTTATGGTGATGGTTGAATATTCTGATGTTAGTCCAATTTGTCCTTAACTCTGATATTGGTTTTGGGTTTTGTCCTATTTCTACTGTTGACTTAAATTTTACCCAGTGCTGATATCCTGGTGTTGGTTTTTGGGCTTAGTCCAAATTCTACTGTTGACGAGACGTCATCTAGACCCGATATTTCTGGTATAGGTTTCGGATGCGTCCCATTTCTGGTTTTAGGGTTTAGGGCAGAGCCTAATCGAAAGCAATCTCACTGTCCCTGTCCTCTTTTTTTGCATAAGCGCAGCCTGTAGTATATACAGAGTTCGATTCACATGCCATTCCAACTCGGTTTCCATGACAACCCAGCCAGCTTGTGGGTGGCGTTGTGGAACCTCTATACACACAGAGCGTTGCCTTTGATGTATATTCCATTCGAGTTTAATTTTTATTTGTTTACCTACAACCTACTTGAACCCTAACAACCCTTAAAACTTGTCTATTTTATTTTTAGGGTGAGCGGTTTAGCTATTTCTGTACGTTGCTCAAAATGAC